CTTGTACAAGCTGTGTGACTAAATTGACTTGATGAAAGCGCTGTTGAAATCCTGCAAAATTCAAGTTCAACGACACAAACTTGCAGATACCGTATGCCTACCGTAACCTACCGTACCTCTAATCAAGCATAATTGTCGTAATCCGCGTGTCGAATAACCCCTATGCGCCAAGTTTCAGCGAACTCTGAGGTCTCCGAGCAGTAAACAACCTTGTATAAAGCAGTAATTTAAAACATGATTAACTTCATCTTAACGGTGAGTAAGCTACCTCTTCTTGCACTCAATACAAAGCACTACTCCTTCTTTGTCCACCTCAGGAATCCCGCTTCAGAAGACCTCCAAACTATTGAATTAGAAGCCAACCAAAAGCTAAGAAGACGAATCAGGCTCAAAACATCCCTATGGAATCTACGAGGTTTAGGCTATTGATTCATGTAAATACTGTCCGCTAAAAATGTTTTTTTTGATATAGTTAATGGGGTGCGGCACACCCCCTTGAAAGCTGCGGCTGCCGCAGCTTTTGAGGGGGTGTGCCGCACCCCCTTAACTTGCCTTAAAAATCCAGAAAGACCTAAACCTCGTAGATTCCATAGGGATGTTTTGAGCCTGATTCGTCTTCTTAGCTCTGAGTAATATTTGGTGAAAGCACAGCGATCAAAAGCGAAAAATGGGAAAACGAGATTTTGGTTGGTTTCTAATTCAATAGTTTGGAGGTCTTCTGAAGCGGGATTCCTGAGGTGGACAAAGAAGGAGTAGTGCTTTGTCTTGAGTGCGAAAACGGATAGCTAATTCACCTTTGAAACAAAGTTAACCATGTTGGAATTTGACCATTTCACTTAGGTAGCCTAGTATCTTGAATCTTCAGAATTCGCTCAAACTTTGTCTACAGGGGGTTAATTGACATGCTCATTATGGATATGTTGCCCATTATGTTTGACAGGGCCTCCAAGTAGTATCTTAAGGGTATAGTCCAGGGGGGGGGGGGTCTTATTAAGACAGCAATCAGGGGGGGGGGTCGTAACCAGCGATCGTGTGCCACACCCCTTGCTTGACCCTGGTTATGAGCTTAGCATAACGAAACAACGCTCGACCACAACAAGATGTTTTATTTTGCTAACGAACATACCTCACATTGCAAAGATTAACAAACAGATTTTGAGGAAATGATAAAAAAAACATGCATAAATTTGAACTGAAGGCTGAAGTGCCGCGCTCCGCCGCCACCGGCCTGCTCCAATTCAAATTCGAATTCACCCAACGACCGACTAGTGGGGTGAGGACAACTATACAGTCTTTTTCAACCCGGAGTAAGCCACAGATGCCAAGTGGAGCAGCGCGTCCGCACCGCCACTGGCTCAGCGAGACAGATTAAAGTGAAGAGACGCAGACTGCAAAGCGGCGCGATCGTTGCGAAACGGGTTCCCGCCAGTCCCATTCCCGCCTAAACTGAGCTGAAACTTACTATAGCTGAGCGGGCGCAAACTCGGCGCGCATATCTTCACTGTTATAAATCCTGCGCCTTATGCGCTCTGCGGCTAATAAAGCCGCGTTCGCGCCCAAAGGTATTACGGCTTCGTCATGCAGGACGAATTCGAAACGCACCAGCGTACCCTGATCGGCGACGCGGCAGCGACGAGCACTCCGCCGAGCGCGTCAGCGAGCACGAACTGGTTTTTTTTACGTTTTTTGAAGTTTCCGCCGATCTTAGTGCGCTTGTGTGTTTCGAATTCGTCCAGAGCATTACAAGCGCACGATTATTGGAGCATGTATGGAAAGCAGGACTGGAACGCTTGGTTTTTTGTGACTTCTTTGCACCTTTATGACGAAGTCAGATCAGCTACTGGGGTGTGAAGTTTCTGAATTGCCGCTCATTAATCGTGAAGAAAGAATCGCGGCGGTTGTGCTTGGACGGCCTCCGTCAAAGTTTACCGAAATTTTCGCGCCAGGTCTCAGTTCAGAGTGGACTAGTTCTGAAGGATACCCTTCAGCTACTTCGACATGGCACGCCTTCGTATATACATACAGGGCTCCTAAATTGCAGAGTCGTTTGCACCAGCGGTCGCGCGACCGCTGGTGCAAACGACTCTGCAGTTTAGGAGCCTTGTAACTGCTTTAGCTTGGGTAAACTGTGTGACGTGGGAGATAGTTTTCAAATTTCTTTTCCAGTTTTGCTTACATAGGCTGCTCACTGTGACGATTACAAATTATTTGATGCTAGAGGACATTGCGAGACGCGGTAGGGGTGGATTTGCCAAGAAACAAACCACCATAAATACCTCGCCTTTCTCTTTTCAGCAATTATGTTCTCAATTTGGTTGCTCCTCGAAGTCACTCACCGAGGCTCAACCTTTTCACCATGTACAACTTTGACTAATTCTCATTCTCATCTTATTAGGATCCCAAACATAATGCTGGCCGGCGGATGGAGCAAGCATTTCGCAATTCAGTATCTTTTTTCAGTCTGCGCGGTCTTTTGAAATTAATAAAGGTAACATTTTGTCGTGACCAAATCCGTTAGTGGGAAGTTGAGCCTCAGATGTAACGATGCTTCTCCACTGCGTGATATTGAGAAATTTTAGACAGTGGAGAAAGCTTCTTGCGGAAAATCACAAAACCATCTATCTTATATATAAAGCTGAATGTCTGTTTGTATGTATGTCTGTATGTCTGTCTGTATGTATGTATGTGTGTACGTATGTTCCGAATAGAAAATTCCATTTCTGAACCGATCCGGACCAAACTTGGCACACATACGCTACGGGCCCCGGCGGGTGTCATAGGCTACTTTTCGTCATCGATCGATATCGATTTTATCGATTTTTATCGATTTTTTTGCTGAGTTCACCTACGGGGCTGGGAGTTGGCACAGGGGGGTAATCGAGCATGGGGATTCCGAATACAATATTGGTTTTCAGGATTATCGATTACTTTTATCGATTTTATCGATTTTTTTGCAAAGTTTGAGCTACGGGGCTGGGAGTTGGCAAAGGGGGGTAATCGAGCATGGGGATTCCGAATACAATATTGGTTTTCAGGATTATCGATTACTTTTATCGATTTTATCGATTTTTTTGCAAAGTTTGAGCTACGGGGCTGGGAGTTCGCACAGGGGGGTAATCGAGCATGGGGATTCCGAATACAATATTGGTTTTTGGGATTATCGATTACTTTTATCGATTTTATCGATTTTTTTGCAAAGTTTGAGCTAGGGGGCTGGGAGTTGGCACAGGGGGGTAATCGAGCATGCTGATCATCCCCAAGGGGGTGATCAGCATGCTCGATTACACCCCTGTGCCAAATTCCATCCCCCTAGCTCAAATTTTGCAAAATCGATAAAATCGATAGAAGTAATGGATAATTCCAAAAACTAATATTGTATTCGTAATCTGCATGCTCGATTACCCCCCTGTGCAAACTCCCAGCCCCGCAGGTCAAACTTTACAAAAAAATCGATAAAATCGATAAAAGTAATGGACGATCCTGAAAACTAATATTGTGTTCGTAATCAGCATGCTCGATTACCCCCTGTGCAAAATCCCAGCCTCGCATGTCAAAATTTACAAAAAATCGATAAAATCAATAAAAGTAACCGATAATTCTGAAAACTAATATTGTATTCGGAATCCCCATGCTCACTTCCCCCCTGTGCCAACTCCTAGCCCTGTAGGTGAACTCTGCGAAAAAATCGATAAAAATCGGTAAAATCGACATCGATCGATAACGAAAAGTGGACTGTGACACGCGCCGGGGCCCGAAGTGTATGTGTGCCAAGTTTGGTCCGGATACGGCGGAGCCGGGTAAGCCAGCTAGTATAAATTAAAATTATAGACACCAACATTACAAAGCTGTGATTGCTCTCCACTTTGTGACAATAGTGCTTGATGTTGATCGAGTTCGGAAACCCTTGTCGAAAGCGATTTCGGAACACACAAGCGTACTAAGATCGGCATCTGAAGCTTCGATAAGCGCAAAAAACTCGTAAAAAACTAAGTTCGTGCTCGCTGCCGCGTCGCCGATCAGGTTACGCTTGTGCGTTTCGAATTCGTCGTCATGCAGCAGTGTAAGGAATTATTTCAAGAAATTATAAATCTACAAAACTAGCGCTTTTCTTTACTAGAAGGAACAGTTTTCTTATCCCTTGTCTCATTACTTGCTCTCCTCTGTGTTGTATTACATTGATCTGTGCGAACTTATAGTGCATTTAGTTAGAAAAACCAGTGCGTCACCTCCTCTTCGCAGAGGTTCGCACTGGCTCTCCCTTTGAAACTCACCCGCGATGCTGAACATCACAAATGAATTGTAAACAACTGCTCATTTTTGAAGCATCTTCACGTAAGATCGGTAATTTTGAGAAAGAGCACTTTCTCGCTAAGGAACACCTGCGAATTTGAATGGATTACTGAGTTTTGGCTTGGTAATCGTCATAATGATAATAGTCACTTTGTTGGGCTACATCCGTGCAAAAATCTTTCAAATTTTAAGTTAAAACCTTGCCAAATCGACTGTCTATGCGATCACCGCCTTTTGGAGCTGTTTTCGCAAAAGCAAACTTTGCATTTTTTGAGCTAGAACTGATGGGGCGCAGATTTATTTGGCACGCAAATCATGGCTTTGCAAAAATACAGATCTGGACTCAGTTTTGCCTGCTCACAGCCGTGTGGATCCGTTCTATGCACAATTTTCGTAACACCAACGCAGCGGATCGCACGAAAGCATGATGGGCCTAGACGCTGGCAAGGTGCTATGAACAGATTTTCAGCTCAATACGTTTGCTGGAACTCGCTCTCTGAATTTCGTGACAGACAGACGTTCACACACACACAAAAGCAGCTAAACAACCCTTAGCCCGCTATTATAAGTCATGATGATTTAAGTGTGAGATGGCATTCCCATCTGCTACTGCGAACAGCAAATGCACGTGCTTTGCGGGTCCCGGGTACACGATCAATATGCGCAAAACGTGCGTTTGGGAGTGTTATCAGCTCACCTCCTATTTGCAGATGTCTGCTTCACCTTTATCACTGGTCATTGCTGATATTGTCGAATTTTTCAATGTGACTTGGAGTCATATGCAGAAACATTATCAATGTAGCGGTACGCTTGAACATATACTGTTTGATGGTTGTAACTCGGTTTTTGATCCACTCCATTTCCCTTTTTCTTATCATTCATCAACTTTTGGTGTTTGCGAAACATCACAACAGATTGCTTTGCCGTATCTCGTTGTTTGCGATTTTCTTGCACATTTCGCGTTTTTGTGTTTGTTGAAAAGTACTGATATTGTTATCAGCAATGTCGCTGTGCAGAGACCCCAAGTACCAAGATCTCAAAAGTTTTGTGGAAGTCAATGAGAAGGACAAACTAAGCATCTACGAGCAACTTCTCAGTGATCCAGACAGGTTTAACAAGTATACGTGAGTTATCAAGTTGTCATTTCGAGTCATTGGTATCCACATAAAAGATAAAGCAGAAAGTCTAGCACTTCTCCTAACAATAGAAGCCCTTTTAGTAGAAGTGCTTTCCAAATGACACCTGTGTCACTGGATGCTCTTTGAATGCTGATCCAAATCTGCTTTTTTCTGCGGAGCAACTCCCCGAAATAAGTTACGAGTGTTTGAAAATCCACATTTATCATGCTCTAAGTGGCAAAAAATTGTCCAGAAGCTGAGAACAGCGGAAAGGAGGTTACTAAATTTGTATCAGATATATTGACTAAAGGAAGGAACACAGCCTGTTCCGGCTAGGTGTTTTTGTACAGCCTTCCGCTAAATTTCAGTGGAGGCTTGACAAATTTAGACTTTCAAACACTCGTAATTTTTTTCGGGGAGATCGATTGGAATCACCGTTCAATGCTCTGCAAGCGTTATACAGGGCCTATTAGCTGCAGTGTCGGGTGCACCGGCATCTCCGCTCCCGCTTGTTCGCCTCGCTTGGACTCTGCAATTCGCAAGCATCTCTTCAATCATGTTCGCACGCTCAATTAGCAAATGAAGCTTCGTAGTGGGAAACTGATAAGAGAGCATGTTTGAAAGAGAAGCGGAGTCCAGGCGAGGCGGCCGCGCAGGAGCAGAGATGCGGTGCACCCGACTCTGCAATTGATAAGCCTTGTAGGTGTTATCTGAAAAGGCCATTTCGACTTCCCTTGTAAGTGAAAATGACTTTTTATTGACTGCTGCAAAGTAATTCTTACGATCTCGCGTAAACAACAAGAATTATAAATTATAAATCAATTTAAATTTGCGGTGGGAAGGATGCGGTGATCCAAGCAGCCATGTAGCGGGACGGGTGAGTTGATGTTAGTACAGGAATGTCTGCAGCGCAGCATGGGGGGGGGGGGGGGGAGGGGGTTCTGGAGCCGTTTTTGTACGATGTTTTGGGGAAAATATCACGCTATTCTTTTTGAGCTCTAAATTCATTTTGTGCTCTAAGGTATGATCCCGCCCGGATTACGGCCTAGGCCCTGCCGGGCCGCAACGACACGTGCGCGAGCTGGCATCTTTACCCAATTATGGATTTAAGGTTTTCACCGTTGTTATGCCTGTTCCTCATCCTGTTATAGATGAGTAAGAGAGCTATGACCGTTATCTATCTAATCTATCTAATATATAAAGAATCGTAAGCGCTCAAAAATGTGCACGGGTGGAGGACATTAGGTCGCCGAATTTGGAAGAGTCCCGCGCGGATTCCCTGCAGGAAACGCATGTCCGCGCATGTGCAAGGATGCGTAATTGTCGCAAATGACCGCGGGGACCGCCCTTTTTCGGCGACCTAATGTCCCCCACCCATGTGCACATAACGGGAAACCACGTGGCGGTCCCGTAGCGCGCGCAGGCTACTAGCACCTTCAATTGCTGGTTCACTAGTCTTTAGGCATAATGTATCGCCGATTCGTTGACCGCACGGACTGCTCAAACGCTGGGAGCACGCGTGGCGCGGCTGAATTACCGCAAGAGCACGACTTATACAATGGCGAATTTGTATGAGGCAAGCATTTTACCTCGCGGCGCGTGCTCTGCAGTGATGTGCAGTCCGTGCGGTCAGCGACTGTGCCACTATAGGACAACTATAACACCGGGAGCTAACATAACCCGTCGCGTTCAGCGTTTACCGCGACATTGAAGAAGTTTAAAACAGAAGAGCCCCGTTAACTCCCCGAACCCGCCCGCTTTATTGCGGGATGATTGATGTATAGGTCGGTTCGGTCACAATAGGTAGCAAATGGCCGAACAGAGTCAACACAACACGTCGCGTTCAACGTTTATTTGACACTGAAGAAGCTTACAACAGAAGAACCCCGTTGACCCCCGAACCCACACGCTTCACTGCGGGATGATTGATGTGGTCGGTTCGGCCACAATACGTAGCAAATGGCGAACATCAACATAGCTGGGAAGCTAGCCCGCGCGTAGTAGTAACTGCACTGCCCCATGTTTCCGTTAGGCTTTCACTTGCAAATACACTTGCTTGATTCGCTTGATCCGCTTAATCCACTTGATCCGCTCGATACGCTTGATCCGCTGATTCTCTTCATGCGCGCTCACTGGGTGGAGGATATTAGGTCGCCGATAGGCTCCGCCCTCGCGTTCGGCGTGCATTGAGCAGCAATGGTGAAGACAATTTGGTTTGTTGCAAATGTCCGCTCCGACTTGAGGACATGAGCTTCCATCTGGGAAAATCCAACGCTTGTATGACTGGGTCTCGTTAGTGGATGGAGGGTTCACTTGTGGAAATTCAACGTTTTGGGTAACTGGGTTTCGCTGGTCCACATAGGAATCTCCAGCGCTTGAACTACTGGGTCTCGTTGTGGAGGAAAGCTTTTACTCAGGTTGTGCTCTTCCGTGTGGAAGAGAAAGCTTTAGATAACTGGGTTCCGCTGGTGAAGATGTGTTTCTGTTTGAGGAAGTCCCACTAGCGGTAACTAAGTCTCCTGTTGAAAATGCTTTTAATTGGGGTTATACGCTTGAGTAGTGGGCCTGGTTGGCGAGCTGGTAAAAATGAGCTTCTGCTAGATAAAGCATCTATAATCCTGTAGGAAAGGCGGTTGGAAACGAGCGCTTATTAGAAAAATCTGCATTTCTTTGAAGAAAGTAAAGCATTCAAGTACTGGGTCTCGCTGGTGGAGATGAGCGTTCATTCGAAAGATCTTTCTATTTTGTATGAAGGAGAGCTTGATGATTGGGTCTGGCTGTGGAGCCAACGCTTTCCATAAAGGATTTTAGCGGGTAAGTTTTTCGTACATAAATGGCAAAATTTGATCGGTGATTGAAGGGCATTTATCTAAAAAAAATTTTGTGTAAGGAAAACATAAGAGTAACAGGGTCTCGTGTTCGATGGCGGCTGACTTTTCAGAGGGGTCACTACCGGGGGGTGACTTGTTGTCGCCGTATCGCAAAATCCGTAAAAGAAAATTGTTCTGAAAGCGCGTGTTGAGGAAATTTTGTTCTTTCTGTTAAAAGCGAAGCGTGTGGGTCATTGAGGGAGGCCATGCTTTCGAGCGAAAGGAAACTTTTCGGGAAGTGCGTTTATTCCACAGGTTTTCCAATATCTCATCAAAAATCTGCTTTGTAGACGTTTTCATGGGGAACCTCACCTATACTTGTAGAAAAGCGAGTTATTGTCCCGCAAAATAAAAAGGCTCAAAGTTTAGGGTAGAGTATCAGTCCGGAAAATTTTTTCAGATGCTTCCACCCGATAAGGACTCTACCTTGGAACAAATTTAATGATTCGGCCAAAATTTTTTTTTCAAGTAAAATAAAATGCAGGAAGATGTCATTGAGATGCACAAACTTTCTAAACATGTGCTTCGATCTACTTACAGTCCGTGTCAATCACGTGCTCCCTTTTTCCCAAATGCACTGAGCTTCGCGCCACGTTCGCGCGCGTATTGTTGGCATTCAAGTGGGCCTTATCGACTGGAGGTCCGCATGCAGGACCCTAGCGTTGCGCATGCGTAGTTCCCATGCGAAAAGGAGTACGCGATTGACATCGACTGTATAGCGACCCGCAGGGTCGCTAGTAGGTGTAAAGCATGAATCTAGATTTCTGGAGCTTTAGGATCTGAAGCTTTCTTTCTAAGCTGCGATCCCCTTCCCAGCGGGGATGTTGATGCATGCGGCCCTCAGAGTAAATGCTGATGTAAAAAATCGCTAATGCAGGGAAATTGTCTTCATAATGACAGTCGTGGTAACCTCAAAATCAACTTTCGTGTGTCAGCGATACTACTTTCAATCATTAGTATTGTGTGAGTGGTACTCATAAGTTCACTTCGGCTGTCTATGATGAGCAATAACCTTTGCCGCACAAAGTGCGGTGATGAATTATTTACCTGCACATATTGACTTCAAATGTTAAATACTTGACTACTAAATATTGACTTTAAATGTTGATATGGATGAAAGAAACTTTAAATTCTGACATTTAAAAAGCTTTTATACTATCTGAGCTTACTTCATTTCCAGCCGTACCATTGACACTCCCGATGGCACCGTGCTTTTCGACTTTTCTAAACATCGAATATCTGACACCACATTCGAGAAATTGATAGATTTGGTAAGTTTTTTTTTGCTTTAGCGTTGTACAATGCTCTCTGAAAGCTATATCTCTGCTGTGTTTGCTCAAGCCTCTACAGAAAAGCTGGATTTGAAATTTTTTACAGTGTTGGCGGTTGAGTTAACAAAAAGTGAAAAGGGCCAACTTTACTGTTGAAAGCATCTATGTACATGCACTATGTGCTCCTTTGGTAGCTAATAATCTATCCGGAAGAAGGACCCAGTAACTTCAAATTTTTTTCTCTATTTAGTTTCAAGGTTTTCCTGAGATACTCGATGTGTTGCAACTTGCTAAAGTAAGACCCTTCTCCATTCAATCTGGGTGTCGAAGGAGCAAACCGTACGCAAATCAGAGGATCTCCACGAGGTATGGGCGATTCATAGCACGCAAAGACTGCGGACGACGTATGGGCGTCTCTCTGGTCGAGCGCTCTTTCGTTTCTCTTACCATCTGCTGTCTCTCCATGCATGAACTATTTTGGGCGGACGCAAGGCTCCCAGTTTTTGCGTGTTATGAACCCCGTATAGTATTAGGTTGTTGCAAAAATAATGTCCGTTTCTCTAGGCCTACTTTCCGAACAACTTTTTTCCATTGAAATTTCTTTTTCGATATAGATTCTGCTTATCATTGGAAAGCCTTCTTCATCTACTTTTCAAAAGTGGTGAAATTAAGCTTCTATCCCATCTGTGAGGATTTCATCGACATCTCGCACAACTGCACTCAAAACGAAATTTCGATGCTTGAGTTTCCGTGGCCACAATTCAGGCGGAAATGAATGAATTCTTTTGAAAATATAGCTACTATATTTTTCGGACATTGTTTACCTATAGCATGTTTGAGTAGATTTTTCGAAAGTGGACCGAGAAAATGACGCCGCGAAATAGATACTCACTGCATGGCATTCTACGGGTCAAAAATTTCACACGACTGAGGCAGTTGCGCTTCGCTCATTTCTGTAGCTTGAGGTCAGGACATCTCGCTCACAATTTTTGCAGAAAAACTTAGCTATTTAGTGCATATATTAGGGTGAACAGTAAAAGTGGGACAGCTTGATTTTTATTATATTTTGAGATTTTTTGTCCTCACCAATAACAAGCAGGCTGCAACTCAAACGTAGCTTACATAACTGACCTTCCCCTGTTATTCTGGCAACGCGTTACCGCTCCTCTTTCATAACCTTACGCGTGGCGTCCTGAAGATCTCCGACAGGTTTTTTGAACAGCTCTTAATCTTTCACTGCTACACCGTAAAGTCGTAAAGCAAACGACATACCATTCGAAAGAGCTTTTCATGCTCTTTCAAACGATATGTTAAATGCATAAGATTTCTTTTCTTAGGAAAAAATAGCGAAAAAACCTGAAAAATAGCTATTTTTGGCGCAATAAAAAACCAAAAAAACATGCCCTATGCTTTCCGAATATAGATAAAATCCGGGGCAAGCTGCATATGGACAGATAGAGCGTAAAAAGTTCTATCAGATGGTACCTAGGAAACATGCGTTCACCTGCAAAGAATTGAGTAACGCGTATCTTCGTTTTCGAAGTTGCTAATGGCCATATATCCTGGCTTTGGAAGTTGAGGCCACCAAGCCGTCGTGGGTTTGGTGACTGTCCCAACACTCACCCCAGCAGTGGTACTTGGGGTGGTCTCACACGTTTCGTTTCACTGCGAAGATACTGCTCAAAGTTCATAATTTGTCTAAGTGATTAACTTGCATTTCAGTAAGTATAAAAATTACTAGATATGTAAATGACCTTATATAGGTATGCCTGAAAGAGAATGACATATTCTAATATCTATCAAAATCGGAAAGTCTGATCACTTCTCTTTCTTGAGAAACCCCACTTATTTCGCAAGTGTCCCATTTTTACCGTTCACCCTAATAGTATTTCAGATTTTCTTAGTTTGGGACCTTCTAGCCTGCCACAAATAGCCTCAATAAAGTGAACACTTCTGAATTCCTATTTTTTATTTTCGCAGGCCCCCTTCGATGAAGTTTTTTTCTATACAAACGTTCACTACTTGGTTGCATCTACAAAATAAGCTGGCTAGCAACCATAGGAAGAAAACTTGAAGGGAGCCGTAACCTCTCAAATGCGAGGTTTTCAAACGAAACTTTCGGTTTTTTGGCGCATGCTTTTATTCCCGATTGCGATATTAGTATATGCAGGTGCGCATTAGGTAACGAAAGACTTACTGCTTCTGATGGTCCTGATTGCATTTAAAAATATGAAGACCGCACAAAGTTACAGCCTTTCAAATTGAAACTTTGCAAAACAGACATTATTTTTGCAACAACTAATACTCAAAGGCACACCCAATTTCTCAACAGCCATGTTTTTGTCTTTTCGGGGCCTTCACATGTCCCTAATTCTGTATACCATATCCGTGCGCACCAAACTAATAACCGCGCAAAACCCGCAGGGCGAGCTCTCCGAAACGTGATTTTTGGGTGCGCACGGATGAGCGGGACGAACGCCACTCACTCAAAGGGAAGGAGCCAACGTGGCAAATCCGTCATCCGAAGCGATTCTCGAAACAATGTTTTCGTTTCGAAAGCAAATTTTGGCACGCAAGTTAGGCAAGTATATACACAGTCAGGGGCACCGCTGCTGTTAAGCATCAAACTCTCGTCGACCCCATTTTGGGTGGACGGTGCCTATAACGCCGTATCAACTGTTCATAAGCGGCGTCAGATGCGCCGTACGAGCACGTTTAGTGGGGCGAATATCGATCCTCGGTGGTAGGCTCAGCTTGCATCCAAAAGTATCAAATACTTTTTGGTTTTTCTTCACATTAGGAACTTGGTACTATTCCACATCAGTTGACCAAAAGAAATGAAAATCGTGGATTTCGCTGAAACTTCGTCTAAGGCCTCGGACAAAGCTCACGCGATGATCGTCGCGAATCCATCGCTACAAGACAACTGTTACGAGTTCATTGCATGCCGATCAGCTTCCATTTCAGTTGTAATACTTTTCCAGCTTGAAATTTTTGAATGTAAAATGAAAATGGATGAAAACCGCGGCGATTCAATCGCGATGATCAATTCGCGTGAACTCTGTCCGAGGCGTAAGGGGGTTATTTTGCACGCTGATTACGAATATCACATTTATTTCGCACGGTATTGCCGTCGTCCGGTGGAGTTATGATAGGATTGCGGCAAGGGGTCAAAACCATAGATTTGTCCCAAACTTCGTCTAAGGGGGATATCTGGCACCGTAAACAGAAAACCATATTCATTTCGTACGGTAGCGCCAATTTCTCGGGCTACGGTAGGTCTACGGTAGATGGCTAAAAATCTTGAATTCGCTCGAAACTTTGCCTGGAGGGGTTTTCAAGCACGATGTTTTCAAATATTGCACTTGTTTTGCATGGTAGAGCCTTTTCGTGGATTTTTGGTATCTAAATTTGGCTGTAAAGAAAAAAGTTGCTCTTTCACGCACTGCAGATCGTAACTCTAACAGTTAGACATTGTTGCACCGAACGAGCATGATGTTTGCAAACAGCATGCCTAAGAACCCCTTCAGGCAAGGTTTTGAGCAAATTCGGGATTCTTGATCATCTACCGTATACCCACCGTAACCGAAAAACTTGGTGCTACTGCACGAGAACAATATGATACTCATGTTCAGCTTGCCAAATAGCCCCCCCCCCCCTAGGCGATGTTTGGAGCAAATCCGTGGTTTTGACCCAATATCGTACTCCTACCGTAACTCCACCGTATGGCAATAACATGTGAAATAAACGTGATATTCGTAATCACCGTGCAAAATAATCCCTCTAGATGAAGTTTCAGCGAAATCTGCGCTCTTCATTTTTTGGGCCAACCAATGTTAGCGCCCCGCAAATTAGGCACCGCCTCCACGGGCAGGTGGTCCTTTCGTCCTACTGTAGTGCATCATGTTAGAACCAGTGGGCCGCGGAGGCGGTCCCTAGTTGAGGTGTTTGTTCCTCCATCCGTTGCTGATTACAGCAGAATTCGAAGGCTAAGGCGTCGGGCAGACTTCGCGCGATTTCATCGCCGTGATTCTCCCAATAAGGCCTAAGGCATACCTCTCGCGATTTTGCGAAACCGCCACATCCTCGCGACTTGGCTATTTGCCAGATGTCTGGAGGTTAAGCATGCGAGGCTCTCAAATGTATGGGTGCGTAGATTCCGTAGATTGTAGCAAACGCAGCCAGTCTGGCCCAAGCAAAGTGCGTTTACGACCAGCTATGGATAGTGGTTGCAGTGTCAAATCGCGCGGCGACTAAAATCGCGTGAGGTATGCCTTAGGCCTAAGGCAAGGGACGGGACATACCTCACGCGATTTCAGTCGCCACGCAATCTGGCAATTTGCCAGATGTTTTCAAATTTAATACTGGTACACCCCAAAATGCACAGCATGTATAACTTTCGTAGGTTGATAAAATGCCCCATCTTCCATACATTCGGAAACTCCGTACGACGAGTTATGAACATTTGGAATACTGCCACGCGTCGCGAGTGAAATCGCGTGAGGTATTTCCGAGGCCTAAGACAACAGTTATCGTCTTTTCACTCAGTTGACGACTCACCGGTGGGTCGTAAGATTCCTGAAGCTCTAGCTTTGATGTATACGATGGAATTCTACGGGGTTCTGGCACATGATTGAGAACACCTTGGCGAAGCTCCAGCCAGAGTGGTCCGAGTTCGGGATACTGTAATGTAATGTTACGGTAGGTATACCGTAGAAGAGGTAAGGCACAGACATTAGCTCAAATTTTTCGCAGAGTGGTGCTGTTTTTGATAATTTAAGTTTACATGCACGAGAAATACGGAGAGTGCACAAGACTGATGTCAGCCCATCAAAAATTATCGATTTTATTGGTTTTTTGCATTGTTCATCCCAGGAATTTCACATCTTACTTATATAGGTTTTTTAGCATACTGATTACGAAAATGATAGTCTCAAGTTCCAATAGCGCTACTTACCGTATGCCGCCAAAAACTGAAATCAACCATATTTTGGTAATCA